TCAACTCCCAGAATCCTCTCTATGTGGCCACTTGGCATCTATTTTTCTTTTAATAGATAGTTAAAATATATTGATTATTGAAACTTTTCCATCTCAACAGGAACAACAACGCGCACTTATTTGCACAGGCTTTTAGGGAAGGAGCAAGTGTTTAACATGCCTTTTACTGCTGCTCGTCTGTATTGATTTAATGGTATTTTAGCAGGTGCTTTAGTTTGTGGATTTATTTATTTGCAGTGCTAGATGCGTACTTTGCAGTTTCAGATTTGCAGTTTTCAGAGTGTTTGCTGTGTGGATTGTGTGCTGCCTTGAGCTCATATGAAAAAGGGTGGGATATACACTGAACAGATGGAAGTCATGGTGGTGGTGATAATGATGGTGGTGGTGGTGGTGGTGGCCAGGACGATTCAGATAACTGAGAGCCTGCATCGAAAAGTTGGAGTGTAACTTTACACTCACAGAGTTATGTGGGGGTTATGCATTAGTGCAGGGGTAGGCAACCTGTCCCCTTTAAGGGCCGAGGGACTTCAGCTCCCAGAAGCCTCAGCCATGTTGGCCAATAGTCCCATGTTGACCAATAGCTCCTGGGATTCTGGGAGCTGAAGTCCCTCGGCCCTTAAAGGGGACAGGTTGCCTACCCCTGCATTAGTGGATTTCAAGATCATGCCACTGGATGTCCAAACAAACATGAAATACATGCTTGCAATGGGCAAAGCATAATGCACATCTACATGTGCATTCTGCATGCACAGCTCTGCTTCTTCAGCCTTCTGCTGAATACTGACTTCTTGTTGTTTTATGCCTTCAAATCATTTCCATCTTATGGCGACCCTAAGGACATAACTCCCCATCGTGGGGTTTTCTTGGCAAGTTTCGTCAGAGGGGGGTTGCATTTGCCATCCTCTGAGGCTGAGAGAGCGTGATTTGCCCAGGTGAGTTTCCATAGCTGAGCTGGGATTCGAACCCTGGTCTCCAGAATCAGAGTCAAATGCTCAAACTACTGCAGCACATTGGCTCTCCAAATACTGACCTATACATGAAAATAAAATTAAAATCCAACAGCTTCAGTAGGGGGACTTGTACACACTCAGATCACTCCAAGATGCCAGATTATATATGTTTCTTAGATCATGTTCCTATCTTCTGTCTCATTGCAGGGGGTTTCATGCTCTCTACTTTCAGCACAAGAGCCAACATGGTGGAGTGGTTTGAGCATTGGACTATGACTCTGGGGACCAGGATTTGAATCTTTGCTGGGCCACAGAAACCCACTGGGTGACTTTTGACAAGTCACATTTTCTCAGCCTCAGAGAAAGGCAACGGCACATACCCCCCCCCCCAAATCTTGCTAAGACATCCCCTTGACAGGTTTTCCTTAGGGTCGCCATAAATCAGAGCTAACTTGAAGGCAGATACCTGCTCATTCTGGGTGCGTCGGATGCTCTGTGGCGCTTGGATGTACAAGAACCCGTTTGGATTTTTTCCTAGTGTATTATTGAATCAAATTAAAGATAAGAGAGGGGCAGGGACAATAAAACCTCTTGAAGAAAATACTTTGTCGAGGAAAAGTAATGGCAGAGATAAAGACGTTTTTAAGGAGAGCTTCTCTCCCTGTGACTTTGGTGTGCAGAAGATGTAATTTATAGGGCCTTAAAGAGCCATTTGGTGAAAATCTCCTTGAGTTTTGCAAAGGTAACAGCACCTGCATGCTAAGAAAAAATGTCTGGAAAGCAAGCAGGAGGAACGCAACCCGCTGTGCATGAGAATTTTTTCAAAAAGGTTTTCAACCAAGAATGTCCCCAGCTTGATGTTTTGTGGTTAAATGGGAAAGGGAACAGAAGTTAGGCAGGGTGCAAATGTGTTTTACAGAATATCATTCAGTATTCCTCCATTAACCTCTTATTTATTTATTTTTAAAAAAGTTCTTTGTAACCCACCCTTTATCTGGAGAGCTTAGGCGGCATTACGAGGAAACCAATCTAACCAATTTAAAACATTATAAGTAATAAGAATAATAATAAAAAGGCTTAAAAAGAAAGAAAGAAAGAATTATAACAGATTAAAAGGGTTCATGCAGTTTTATAATAGTTTAAAATGTATTAAAATGGTGTGCATGGCAAGGTTTTTGTAAAACCATTTAGATCCCGAAAACTTTCAGGAACAGCCATAGTTTTACTTGGCAGAAAAGCAAGCAGCATAGTCAAGTCTTTGACTCCAAGGCTGCCTCTGCACTGCAGAAACAGTCCGGCTTGACACCGCTTTAACTGCCATGGCTCAAGACTATGGAATTCTGGGAATGGTAGTTTCTTTTGGCCCCAGAGCATAACCTTCAGCCATGGCAGTTAAAGCGGTGTCAAGCTGGATTATTTCTGCAGTGCGGAGGCAGCCTGTAAGTCTCAATTCCTTGCAAGATAATTTCAAGTTGAGTCTCAAGTCGAGTCTCAAGTCTGGGGGCTAACTTTTAACCAAATAAAGGAAGGTAGGGTCACTTCTGGTCCTTCCAAGAGCAAAGATGCCTTCCACCCAGGAAGGAGTATCAATAATCTAAGATATGCAGGTGACACCATACTCATAAGATATGCAGGTGACACCAGACAGAAAACATCACAAACCTGGAAGGGGAGAAACAACAGCAACAACAACTCAAGAAGTTCAAGGAAGACAGTGGTAAGCCATGTCATCTCCATGTTGCTGTCTTGGGCCATAATGGAGAAGAAGGAAATGTGAAGCTTCCAGGTGATTCTCTGGTACAAAGTTGGCATCTTGTGTGTGATTTGTCCAATGACAGCATTCTCAAAACATGGGTCTGTATTTTCCAGCAGCTGCTTAGTCAAGTCTGTATGCAAAGGGATCTTGCAGCACCTTTGAGACTAACTGAAAGAGAGATGTTGGTGGCATGAGTAATAAGTAGTCTTTCCTGGGATGGACTAGGTGGCCCTTAGAGGTATCTTCCAAGTCTTTGAGTCTACTTCTTGTCTGTCTTGCTGTCTTCAGTTTCCCCCAAGAAAGGGCCAAATGGCCTTTGTGCTTTGGCACTGCTCCTTTGCTTCTGGAGTTTGTCTTGTATCCTTCCCCAATCTATAAACCAAGCAGCACTAATTCAGAACATTTTGCAGAGCAACCTGCCACTCATTTAGTTTGTGTGGGTTTGTGTGTCTGTCTGTATGATGGTCCCCAAACCATCGCTTTACTTGGGGTGCTTTTCTGCTATGCACAAAGAGATCACTTTTGCGAAAGCGGCAATGAAGAGGTGTCGCACATGGTTGGTAGTCTGGACTTTCACCTTTGTGGTTTGCACTTTAGAGGTGTGAAACAGGCATATTGTTCAGACGATGGTTGTCACGACTGGCCCACTGGACCTTTTGTACAAAGAACTCAGAGAGAGAAAAAACCCATCACTTAACCATCTGTTGTTTGGAAAGTAAACCCTCTTTTCCAGCCTTGTATTTACATCACAAAAAAAGAGTTATTTTAAGATGACGTGAGCTCGCATTGCTGTCACTTTTCCCAATTAAGATTTGTGGAAGTCACAGCTGTCGCTGGCAAGGACAAAAAGAGGTCCCTCCAGATGCCACAAAGGAACAGTGTGATACAGAGAGAACAAATGTATGTTTGCAATGCATTTTTAAAAAAATAATAATAATCAGATTGGCCAGAATCCTGGTCGGTGTCAGTTCTTTAATCTTATGTTGTTCTTTCTTGTCTATTGGGCAACGGACGGATTCAGTTCATGGTTGCCTAATCTGAGTTCTGCAAGTGGAACCATTTCACATTGAATTGTGATTTCTTACCTGGTAGATGACTCTCCTGCTGCCCCTTGATTCATTGCGGTTGTGGAAACACCCATTTCACAGACTGGCATCCAGTCCAGTTTACATCTGCTGTTGTTGCTGTATGGCCCCAGGTTGAAATGACGACAAAACGAACCTGTCGTCACAGGGTTTGCTTGGCAAGATTTCTGCTTGGCAGAAAGTGTTTGCCTTTGCCTTCCTCTGAGGCTGAGAGAGTGATGAAAACCCAAGGGATGAATGGGGATTTGAACCCTGGTCTCACAGTCCAGGGAATAAGATGGTGGCTTTTTTCTACTTTTCTTTTTACCATTCTAGTAGGAGTTGTTTTCAGATTTCTCTGGCCTTACAGATACTTGGTTTGATTGCACCTAGATATATTTATGTGTGAGACGATGTGGCATAGTGGTTTGAGCACTGGACAACAACTCTGGAGACTAGGGTTCGATTCCCAGCTCAGCCATGAAACCCACTTGGGCCAGTCACATCCTCTCAGCCTCAGGAGAAAGCAATGGCAAATCTTCTCTGGCCAAATCTTGCCAAGAAAAACCCAGGATAGGTTTGCCTTAGGGTTTCCAGAAGTCAGAAATGACTTGAAGGCACACAACAGCAACAAAAACTCACAGTTCAAAACTCAAACCACTATACCACACTGGCTGTAACATCTGTATGCAAAGGGATCTTGTAGCACCTTTGAGACTTACTGAAAGAAAGACGTTGGTAGCAGGAGCTTTCGTAGGCTTCAGCGTACTTCCTCAGATGCGTGTTTGGAATGGACATTTGTGTATCTAACATCGGTGTATGGCTTTTTGTTTGTTTGGTCATTGTAGGGCTTGGTATTATCTCTCACCTTCTACAATGTCCAAAGCATTTAGACACTACAGCTTCCCCTACCTATTCCATTGCTGGTGGAAAATGGAAAGTGAAGGGCTGTGTCCCTAGAGCAGGAAACATACTGATTGTATTATCCCAGTGGATCTCAGCTGGAGATGGCCTTGGTCCACTCAGTTTGGTGGGATAGAAGGACCTAAGATTCTAAAGTTAGAAGCCTCCAAGCCATTGTATTCCCCACCACCACGGATGGATGTGAGAGCTGGACAGTCAAGAAGGCAGACAAAAAGACAGTCAACTCCTTTGAGAGAAGGTGGGGCTGGACAAGAGGGCTGAGGATCCCATGGACAGCCAAAAGGACAAATGTGTGGGTCCTTGAACAGAGCAAGCCAGAAATATTTGTGGAAGCTAAGATGGTCAAACGGAGGCTGTTCTGAAGTTTGGCCACATCATAGGAAGGCAGGACTCATCAGAAAAGGCAATGATGCTGGGAAAGGTAGAATAAGTAGAGAGGAAATGGTGGACGGACGACTCTATTAAGGAGCTCACAACCATGAATTTACAGGACCTAAGCAGAGCCATGGAGGACAGGGGGGCTTGGAGGTGTCTCATCTGCAGGGTCACCATGGGTTGGGGGCAATTTGAGGGCAGTTAACAACAACAACAACAACAACAACAAGGCCTTTGTCTGGGGACCCCCAGAACTGCTGAACAAAACCCCTTCTAAGGGTTCCTTCCTCTTCCTTGGAGAAACCTGGACACCTGGAGAGATTTGATGTTGCGTGAAAGACTTCAAGTGTGTGCTTGGTGGCCCTCCCTAGTAGCCTCCATAGTGCAAAAAAGCATTCATGTTGTTGTTGTTGTTGTTGTGTACCATGCCTTCAAATAGTTTCTGACCTATGTTGGCCTTAAGGTGAGCCTATCATGAGGTTTTTCTGGAGCTGAGAGTGTGAGGCTCACCCAAGGTCACCCAGTGGGTTTTCATGGCCGAGTGAGAAATCGAACCCTGATCTGCAGAGTAGCAGTCCACTGCACAAACCACTGTGAGGTCTTTGTGAAAGGCTACCAATGCATATTCCATGAGGGCCCCAGTAGCCTCCATGATACACAAACAAACATCTACTTTTTAAAAAATAATTAATTTCCCAGCGAGTCGGAAGGGGCGTTGTGTGGTCTGGGACTTTTTAGGAAGCGCGGCGTGCCGAGAATCGCTAAACGATTGAGGCGGGGAGGAAGGGAACAGTGACAGACTTGTCAGCAGAAGAGGAAGAAGTATAGCAGAAAAATGCATTTTTACAACCCTGGAGGAGCGGAGCAAAATACATTATATTCTGTTTCATTGTGTTCCTTTTTCTGTTCTATTTGTCATGTACCTCTCCAGGAACAGGCGTCAAGAAATTGAATTCCATTTCCTGACTCATTTCTTTGCTGTTCCTATTTGTGTTTGTCATTGTCCTGACCACCGACATGAACCTGCATCGCCTTCAGATACTCTCTCTCTCTCTCTTTCTCTTTCTCTCTCTCTCTCTCTCTGTATGTGTAAAGGTGTGTGTATCTGTCTATTTCTGTCTTATAATATCACTGCTCTACTCTCCGAGGTTTCATTGCAGTGCACAGCGCAGGGAATATTTCCAAGCAAAGCAAACCAAGAATGTTAATTGGGAAGGAGATGATTTACAAGCTGTCTTCCCAAACCTGGCACTCTTCAGATATCTTAAGAGTAAAGATCCCATTATCCACAGCCGTGATGGCCTTTCATGGGTTTATAAACACCACCCAAAACAGTAGGTAAACTCAGAAGCTGGAACCCTGTTCTTGCTCCCAACTGGACTGTTGTTGTTGTTGTTAAGTGCCCTCAAGTCAACATCGACTCATGGTGTCATCTCCAAGACCCCCTGCCCTCAACCGCACAATGACACTTGGAAAGGTAGAAGGCAGTAGAAAGATAGGAAGACCACATGCCAGATGGATTCCATCAGGGAGACCATGGGCCTGAACCTACAGGACCAGGTTCAGTCCACCTGGCATGTGGTCTTCCTGTCTTTCTGCTGCCTTCTACCTTTCCAAGCGTCATTGTCTTTTCTAGTGACTCCTGTCTTCTCATGATGTAGCCAAAGTACAACAGCCTCACTTTGATCATCTTGGCTTCCAGCGAGAGTTCTATAATAATAATAATAATAATAATAATAATAATAATAATAATAATAAAAAATTTATTTATATCCCGCCCTATGGTAACCCAATCAGGGCGGCTTACAACCATAAAAACATATACAGTACCCCAGAAACCCCTCCCCCCCTTAAAACAGTATTAAATCAATAGAGATTAAAACAAGCAATTCAGTTCAATAAAACAACATAGACCAATATATAAACCCAGCGGCCATGATCCTAACCATCCTTAGATGGGGCCACGTAAGGATCACTGGGGTGGGCGTATCCGAGGCCAGAGAAAATTTTTAATCTGTTCAAGGACCCATTGGTTTGATTTCTTGGCCGTCCATGATATCCTCAGCCCTCTTCTCCAGCACCACATTGGAAATGAGTTGATTATTTGTCTTTTCTGTTTGCTTCACTGTCCATCTCTTGCATCCATACATGGCGATGGGGGATGAAATGGCTTGGGTGATTCAGTTGTATATCTTTGCACTTTAGGCTTTTCTCTAGTTCTTTCATGGCTGCCCTTCCCATTCCTAATCTTCTAATTTCTTGACTTCATTCTCTGTTCTGATCAATGTTTGACCCAAGGTATGGGGAATCTTGTAACTTTTGATTCCCCAGATTAACCCCATTCAATCAATAAGATTTACCTGTGTGTTGACTCACCATTCAACAATTTATTCAAGGCATGTACTGTAGTTGGGTGTAACCAACAGGATACCGGACAGACTTTTTGGGTGTGTGTGTGTGAACAGACTGCAGGTTGGAGATAGACACATCTCCCTTGTGGAGGTTGCAATATTTGTTGTGTTAGCATTTCTTTTATTTGCATAGTTTCCAATGGAATGTGGAGATCTTTGTGTTTTCACAGTTATCTCAATGTTGGGGTGCAACTGTAATCTTTAAAAATGCAGACAGAAATACATATGGTTTAAACTACGTCCCATTCGTTTATTTAGGAATTCTCTGAATTAATCTAATCCTAAAACTAAATTTGGAACCCATTCTTGTCTCCAATATTCTATCATTAATTTCCAATCCTTTTTAAAGGAATCTATTCCTTTTTTCTTTATCAAACATGTTAATCTGTCAGTAGTTTAAACGATAAAGAGAAATACATAGTTGTTAGGAAGTGATATGAGTTTGATGATATGACTGTCTGTTTTGCTTTGATATATTTTGTTGCTTTATTGAATGGTGTGTTATTTTTGTCTTTTTTAATCAATAAAAATTTAAAAAGAAAAAGAAAAAAAGAAATACATATGGCTGGCATCCTGTTAAAACCTTACATGTGTGTAAATTTCACTATAAAAATGGCTGGACTTCCCCCCCGTATTGGAAATCTGTATTCAACTTCAGTTTACAGAACCAGAGTTCCTCATGTGGTGCCATTGCCTATGCCTATGTATGCCTATGCATGTGTGTGAGCATTGTGTGAGCATTGTGCATTGTGCACTGCATAGTTAGATGCGTTTTTCATCTTGCATTCATGCATTTCACGTTTATTTGCACCTTCAGTTGCACAGTGTTGCAATGCACAAGTTTCACATTGGCTCCTGAGTATAAAGTTGCATTCTATCTCCGTGATTTCTCACAGCCATGAAAGACACTTTTGGTCCCTTTCTGGGAGAAAGGAGCATAGAAATGAAATAAATAAAATAAATAAATAAAATGTATTGGCTGGAAGCTGAAAAAAATGTATCTCTCAGGAGAAATTGCAGAGAAAAGGGCCCAATAGAGGCAAAGATTTGTAGAAGCTGGGTTCAGCTGTGTACAAAAGGCCACATGGAAATACATGAACATATTTCTTTGGAAATGGAAAACTTCACGGAAACTATTTTCTTCTTTCATCCTTCTCCCATCCCAAGTTTTTATTTTATTTTATTTTATTTTATTTTATTTTATTTTATTTTATTTTATTTTAATGATTCTAGGATTGTTTTTAGTGTGGACAAGCACTGCCACCTGCAGTATGGTTGCCTCCATTCTTTGGCTGCATCTGAACTGCAGATAAAATGCAGTTTGACACCACTTTAACCGCCATGGCTCAATGCTATAGAATTCGGGAATTTGTAGGTTTGTGAGATATTAAGGGGGGAAGCAGACGAGGGCGTCCAGGACGCCCTGGGCCGGCGCGCCGCGGGGCCGCAGCCTCCGCACCTCAGCGCACCGGCGGCGACCCTGGAAGGAGCGCTAAATCAGCGCTCCTTCCTCAAGACAGCGAAAGTGCGCATTAACAGCGGCGGGCGCACTTTCGCTGTCTTTTCCGCCACGGCGCGTTCGGCTGCCGCGGCGTGAGGTCTTCCCCGGAGCGCCGGCCGTGCGGAGGGCCGGCGACTCCGAGGGTGACCTCAGGGAGAGGAAGGGGCGCCGAACGTGCGGCTGCCCCTCCTCTTCTGGGCCCGGAAGACGACTCTATTAGTCGTCTGCCGAGGCCCAATGTCTTCTCTGTCAGAGAACTCTGGTGTCACA